TTCAAAGCTGTTCCTTTAAATGCGCATAATCTACATTGCAATCTTGGAAACGAGAGTTCTGTCTCTTGGAAAGGTAGCAGAGATAATCCAATACATGGCCCACGTGATTATCTAATTGTATTAGTTTCTAAACCCTATCCCGTGATCCTTTTACAATGAACATTTCCCTGCCAAAGAAATCACTTTTGTAATCAACGTCTAAATAACGTGGTTAGAAAGGATGTAGTCCCTTTTTTTCATCGGAGGAGGCTTTTAACGTTTTCGGTATCGCAATAATGTGGTCCTAGAAAGATGTCCTTTGTAGTTAGTGTCAACCATTTGAAATCCATTACAGTCACATATCCATTTGCATGATGGGTGGGGGATGGGGTGGGGGCCGGAGGAGGGGTGTGAATGAATGGATGGTCGGAAGGTTTGTGTGTTAGATACACATCTAACCCATACGTACTGGGTATGTTTTGGAATAACTGCTCTTTACTTTTGAGAGAAAAAGAGAGGGGTGTTGAACAAAACAAATATAAACACAATTGTAAATTTTAGACACCAAGATCGGCACGAAATCAGATTTTAGGCGAGATCTTTTTGGAGAAAAAAATGTGTATGCTAATCCGTCCACTAGTTCCAAGGCACCCCTTGCGCCATTTCAGCAAAACAGTCATATCGTTAGTACCCTAGACGTGTTAGAGCGAACAAAGGAAACTTATCGAGGTCCGAGAGGGCCCGGAGCACATTAGTTACACTTACAAGTAGCTGGCGCACGGAAAATATATTTCTGATGTATTACTTTACTCCAAAAGTGTTGCCAAGATCTATATATGTGAAAAACAAGAAACCATGCATAAACGTAAGACGCTGTTACACTAGCTTCATCTCGACCTGGATGAACACGCAAAAGAGACACACTCCGATCTACATTATCTTACTGAGCATGGATGGCTAAATTGAATAGAGTATATAAAAAGCAAACAGTGGTCTCCACACAGTGATAAGACCCTACCGCATCATTAGAAAATATGTAATCAAAGCTGAAGACACAGAAGATTATCCCAAATAGCGAAATGATTACTTGATATTGTGCGAGATTCGCAATGCATCTTACTTACGAGAACTATCAGAGAACTCAGTGCACCAGTGGAACGATGATAGAAATTGAACCATAGACGCTGGCAGGGAGAACAAAATACATGAGAAAATAATCAGGGCTATCAATTTTCAAAAACTCATCCACAAATCGGCACTGGCTTATCACCTTAGAACTCGAAGCGAGAGGATTCGCGTGATGAACAGGGAGGGTACGAACACCATAGCACCTGAGCGTGACATGAAGTGACGACATTCAGAGGGGGCGTTTGGATAAGTTAAAAAACATGGACCTTTGGGAAAACAGACCAAAAAAGAGCTTCCAAACAGGTGCATTCTATGTGAGGGTGTTGACATTGGTGATCACGACCCAGCAAGCAGGGAGTCAGCGACGATTTTCCCGCTACTATGTTAAAGTATATCCCCAAACATCGATACATCAAGGATGAGCAAAACAGATCTAGAACCCCCGACCAAAGGCAATAGAATAAACGTAAAAAGCCCCCTCTTCGTCATTATTTTGTACGATGTGGTACGTTTTATACTGCAAATGTCAAGTTTAGCTGATAGTTAGCCCGCGCGCACTAGGAAATAATTGTCGAATAGATGGAAAAGAACGCTGTCTTTCCTTCTTAAACCTTGTTCGTATAATCTGAACGAGCCTTTAAAAATGGGGTGATGGAAATCACGTTTTAAACAGTCGCGACTGCAGCCTATGGCACAGGAAGTTCAATGCCAGGTATTGATAACGAGACCTTGGCGGCGTAATCTCTTCAGCCTTGGGTTTTAGTTTGTCCTTTACAAGCAATAGCTTCTGTTCTATAGGCCCACGTACAAACCAATTTCCTGCCAATACGTTTTAGATCACTCTTTATCAAGACTTTGTATATTTCGTTGATGAAGATGCATTTATGTTATCTCTAAATGTCAAATATACTTCCCACTTCTGAATTTCCCACTTCTAAACGTTTTAATTGTCTCGATTTCTTTTATCATACCCAGCTGCACAGCAGCATTTTCAGGTAAAAATCCAGGTTAAATGTTGGATTTGAGTGCATGTATTTACCCTTTTTTTCTTCTTTATTTTCCTTCCCCTGGTTCTATATAAATGTACACGAAGCGGCATTTTACCTCCTTTTTGTAGGAGGAGGGGAAGTTTTTTTTATAGTTTTTTTTAATTATTTTATTTTGTCAATGTTTATTGTTCTTGATTTCACAGTGATTCATAAATTGTTTACCTCATCATTTCATTGTTACCATTTTCGTAAAGTCACATGGATTGGAGATGAAAACCTTCGGGTTGCAGTTATTTAGTTAATCTTTTTACTTTCCTGGCGTCCACGTGACTCTATTCCAAATGAACTCTTGTTTTGTATTCAAGGATTTTCTTTGTTTTTGCCGAATTAATAAAAATAATTAAACAAATAATTGTCAAGTCCGCAAAGCATGGGTCAGGTGTGTTTTTTTATTTTCCTTTTCACTGTCATCGCGGACGGTAAATCATATGTCATTTTATAAGCTTTTTTCAATTATGTGATATCTCAATGTAAGAAAATTAACAAGTTTGATCAATCTTTCGAAATAAAAGACATAGCGCTTTTGTTGATCTTCTTAAAGGCATGGCTTAAAGATATCTAAATTCGGCTTTAAAAGATATACAAAAAAATTTCGAGTTTTATGACAAAGAAATCCTTGAAGCGACTAATCGCACGTTTATTACTAATAATCACTAATATTGAACAGAAATATGTAGTGAAAGTGCTAATTGATTAATTTAATATCAAATGGCAAGGAATACACTTTTTAAAGTGAGACCAGATATTGGTGATGATATTGATTCATCAAAGTCTTGATGTGATAAAAATGCTTGATGTGATGAAAAGGCTTCAAGTTTTTGACAACCATCGGGGCTTCTCAACCTTCTGTATACGAGTTTAAAGAAAAACATCGTCATAATTGACACATTAGCAAAATGTCATTACATTGACTTAGAATTTATCGCCTCATCTAATTGTTAAACATTTCCATATGGCGTACCAGTATTGGAAAGCAAAATAAAATGAAAACACTCCGGGAGATGTGCATTATATATTGGAGTCTATTTAAAATAAGTATATAATTCTATTTGCAACCATAAGCAAAATATTAGGAAAAACGTACAAAAGCAAAATCTATTGTGTCTAATGGAGACGGATAACACGTGTTTTTTAATGTCGTTTGTACCATGAGAATCAGATAATAATTGATATTCTACAGTTCAACAGTATGAATCTTTTTGAAAAACTCGATGAAAATATTACACTTGCACTATTTTGATAACGCCATGATTAATAATAATTTGAATAGGTAACAAAAAGAGTACGCTTGCCTCGCTAATAGTATAGGCTACATACATGTGAATTTCACTTAATAATATTTCTTCTGCTTGGATTGAGCCACATAATGCAGAGACGGCCAATGCAGCCATAGAAGTGACTTCCTGCACATCTATCGATTCATTCACTCGTTTGCACCTGAATGCTCATTTTGTCTTCGTCTTTTCTCTTTCAGGGTTCGTCCTTTTACTTTCCTTCTGTCGTTCACATCACATCTTACAAATTGCAATATCAAAGTTCCAAGAGAACCGAAATGCACAAAGTGTGCATTTAGGTAGAACAAATTCAGAGTTTATGACAAATTGTCGGAGAGCAATATTGACTTTTTCCCATTTTCCCTCACTGTGTTTAGTGAAAAGCCCTTAGGTCGTGGGCGGTGGATGATGAATGCTGGAAAACTATGATGTTCTCAAATGCTTAACAGACATCGGATAATTTAGTTTAACCCTTCCAATATCATTGTAATGCGATTTTCGGCGTATTGTATATTTTCGTCAAATTTGAACGCGGTGAGAAAAACAGGTCGAACCCATTTACGTCTGCCCTGCTTGCTTCTTCATTATAATTTCACGTTTGAGATACACTTTACCCAACGGTGGGCTAGAATTTGACAATAAAGATGCGTTTTTCTTCTTATAAATGTTGGGTACATATTTTTTCGCAAATGTTTTACCCCATTTGTTGGAGAATATAAAAGTAATCGTGAGTGTATCACATTTTTTTTTTTTTTAGTCAGTCAAATTCACTCGCAATTTTATAGAGATTAACGATCAAGATAAATTTCCATGAAATCCAGATCAACTCGAACTTACTTTAGCGGCTGTCGCTTTTCAAAACTGATTAAAAGGTTTTTCATACTACACACTCAAGAGCGGGGCAAATAATTCAGGGCTCTTTGAAATGGGGCACTTGAATAGGACCTGATCGAGTATCATTCCAAGGCAGGTGAAAAAGCCGTGGACATATCTTCAGGCACAAGTTCAGGTCAAAAGCTTCACAGCTGTCCTTCGCTCAAACTCCTCTTCACGTAATCGGGTTTTATAATACTGCAATAAAAAGGGAGGAAATCGACTTTGCTTTTTCCATCTTGCCCTATTTGTCAAGTTTTCCAATAAAAAGCTGAATAATTTATATCAACCTGAACAATCGGTCGTGACCTAGATATTCCAGCAGAAAATTACGAGGTTAATATTTTGAATATTAATCAGTTTGATGAAGCACTTCAATGACGTCATGAAAGACTTTTCAAATGGAAAATAGTTGTATATGCTCTATAAAATTAAATACAAAAATGTTTCTTAGAATTAATATTACAAAAATCTAATCTAAACCGAAGGAGAAGTTTATCTCATAATTACTTAAGAGCACTTGCTCAAATGATAACGTTAAAGATATTAAAAACTGAAAGCAAAAGTAAAAAGATGCATTATCTACACTAAAAGTGATACCTCGATAATCAATCTGAAGTTAATATGCCGAAAAAGTGAAAATGTTGAAATATTGTGTTAGAAAAGATTATCTTGTAAAATTTAATTCATTACTTACCAACAGTCGTCTGGTAAAATGAAATGTAAAAACCTTTCTGATGTACCAATATAATGAGAAGACGAAATCAATCGTACCTTGGAATAAACATTCCAGTCCAGTTTGAGGTACACCTTACTCTCAGCTCAAAACACCTGGTTAAAGTCCTTATTTAGGAGAACAATTTTTTTTTTAACTCTCAGGTTTAACAGTGATGCTTAAAGTTAGCACCGCAAGATGTATAACACACGACAGCATAATCCAACAGTCAGCTACTGGCGTTCACAGAAAATCAGCCAAATTACCGCCAGAAATCTAATTAAAGATATTTAATCGCTGTATTAATATTACATTGGCCGTAACACGTCAGGATCGTATGGCTGTCTGACTGTTAAAACTCTTCTCACTTGCTTTTCTCCGAGTTGATATTCTGCCCGCATTACAATTTACAGACGATATACAAAGTGATAGCTCTGTGCACGCGCGCCGAAATTGCCATGATGCTCTACGAATCGACATGAGTAAGTCTGTTTAAATTGGGTGAGCGGATGGGCACAAACACACGCACACGCTCCCCCTCTCTCGCACGCGCGCGCATAACATCCCACACCCACACCTGTTGCCACCTAAAGTGAACTCGACTCGCGCGCATATATCGACACACAATAGTCATGATAGTGAACGCTCCGAAGCTGATACAGGTCATTAAAAAAAAAACCTGCTTCATCAGGCTTGGAAATTTAAAGGAGAGTTACAACATTTTATTGTATAGTAATACCGTGATAAATTAGTTTTTCGTCACATATAAATTGTAGAACCACTTATGTAGCTGTAGTAAATCATTCAATTGAGTGAATACGCCACGTTTTTTCTCTCAGTATCTAGTTGTGTATAGACATTAATTTAAAATTATATATATATATATATATATATATATATGTACTGATATTAATTTTGATTTAACACATTTTCGAAAATCGTAAAAAAGATGTTATTTGTACCCGATGTAAAATGATGTTTTCGTTCATAAAGAAAAGAGTTTCAACATTGTACGTATTCATTTATCTATCGATTTATTTCACGGGGTTACAGTATTGAGTCTGCCATGGGGATCTGAAAAGGCAATGTAAGTTTATAGCCTACTCTTTAAAAAAATAATATTCAACAACCATACTTCATAAAGGATTGATTGTCATATTGGAAAGTATAGTCCTAACTCATAGTTAACCGATACAGTTTAATGAAAGACATTTGGTTATCATCAATATTTTCTCATTGATATTCAACGCTTCATAAGACTACCGGAATAAAAACTCGAAATAACAGAAATATATCCTTCGAAATGCGTCTTAATAAAAAAAAGTTTCCGTCGGAAAGTGGAGAGCACCTACCACTACAGTAATACCCGTAAAATAATTTGAGCGCTATTTTTATATATATATATATTATAACTACATATACAGGAGCAGCTGTAGTACTCCAAACAAAGCAATTGGCCGGCTGTTGACAGAGGCAGTAACAATTTATCACTTTTACAATAATTGTAATGGATTATTTAAAAGTACACAATCATTTACCTGTTAAGTATAGGATCCCTTTACTGTAGTATGGTTGTCCCGTTGTTACTTCCGGTCGTCATTAATAAACTGTAGAATAGATTAGGAGTAAGAACAGCTTTACATTAGGTTCAATCAAAAATGTAAGCAAAGCAATAAGTAGTTTATAGCATGGTTCTCTACAATGGGATTATCTGTTAACTTCTAAGTTTTGTACACGATCGTGTATGAGTAGTTGATGAATGCATTAAATCCATTATTTTTCCTAGATATACGAATGCTGTTTATAATGCTTTTATGAGTTAACCTTGAATTATGTTTCTTATATAGCTGAAGAAAGAACGGATCTATTGGTCAGGTCTAGTGCAGTACCAAAAATCTTCGCCACAGAAACACATACTCAATCACGATTTGCTCTTCCAGGGAAAATGCCTTTTTGTGCCTCTTTCATCCCCGTGTACTCACGCAGATAGCAGAGATTATTGTAGCCCTTGCCACTCTAAAGATAAATCAGGAATCTCATTTAAATAACCTCATTCTAGACTTTTACTAAACATTCAAACCAAATCGTAGCAAAACAAAATTCTAGATACTAGAAAACTCCTTGATACTTTGAAATATCCGAGTGCTTATGTTCTTAAATGGTTACTTCAAGATGAGCCAAAAGACTAATAAATTTCAATCAATTGGAGGCTTTCGATGAAAACGTATGTAAGTAGACAGGATTTACCGACTTGCGATAAAGATTGGTCATCTTAACCAAGACATCGTATGCGACCTTGCATTTAATACACCACGTGTGCTGAATATCAAATTTATAATTTGCAAGTAACGGAAGACAAGCAATACATTGGAGATGCATCTTGGATATATTACTTTTCGTATCTTTCATTCCAGTTTGCAATCCTTAAGCGGTCGATTGCATGGATGCCGCCAGGCTTCTTAAGCTGATATAATTCCATCTCAATGGGGCTTGAGATTTCTTTAAAGATCCTAATGGTTGTTACATGGCTTAAAACTATACGGAGAATCAGTGAAGGCAAGATCGATTTTTAAAAAGTAAGAAAAGACAGGTGAAAATTGAAGCTCATCCTTTGAAAATTGAAGATCATCATTATCCACAGGCTAATTTTTCCCGAGAAAGAAGATATTGATGCTCTGATTCTACTCAATGAGGTAATATCCAATACCCCATCACGGAAAATAAAATCGGTTTGCAAAATGAAACTGGGAGATCGAAAGGGATAAAGATCGTAATATACAAAAATGTGTAAAATATCAGAAAATATTTTGAGAATAATCTTTCATAATGAAGACACCATTTCTGGTCTTCTCAATGTTTCTTTGTTCATCCCCTCAGGATAAAGAATTCTTCATTTTGAGCAAGATTAGATATTTTGTTTTAGCTGAATAATAGCACGACCTTAACATTTCAGTTTTATAAGTAATACCAATCAATTCATTCGGCAGTTAATTGACGTTTGATTGATTTAAATCATTGTGATCTTTAACCTAGATACATTTTTTTTTCTTGGGGATTACAACGATATGAATAACATCAATTCATTGACCTGGTAACTGATTGATGTTTTAATTATCCTTGTGCATGTGTCATATGCACCCTTTATATGTTGTTAGATATCCATTTGGGGTACAGTCATGCAGTCTATTTTAGGATTCATAATATTTTGAAGATATGAGGTATTAAGTCCTAAGCACACAATGAGATATGTATTTAAAGATATATATCAAGTCTATGGTTACTAAAAGGCTTATGGTATGGTATCAGACGGACGATTTTTTACATAACCATTCGTGAAATATGTTCCAATACGTGAAAGACGTGAAAAACGCCATAACGCCTGCCAATAAACCAAGTCATGTTGAGATTAAGATCGATAGACTTGGTTGGTTTGAAGAAGGGGACTCCTAAATGAGACTCGTCTATGGTCGGTCGACATATTGCTTTTCTTCAATCTTCAAGGATAAGGGAATGCAAATAGCCAGAGGAATCCGTGATGAATCCTACTCGCAAAATTACAAACATTACAGAATGCTGCTGCTCGTGTCGTGACCCTCTCCAACAAGCACAGTCACATTACACCAGTTCGAAAATCAATCTATCGGTGGCCCGTAGAAGAACGTGTTGTTTTCAATATTCCTTTGTTATTATTTCACTGTATTCATGGCTCTGCTCCGCAATACAACATTGGCTTGATCAAGCATTACATCCCCTCAAGACAGCTACGTTCTCAAAACTCTGGCTTACTTGTTACTCCAAGGGTTAACACAAAGTAGGGGAACGAACCTTCGCTCATGCTGGGCCGTCATTATGGATTACTCTCCCTCAATAGTCTAAAAATAGCAGTTCTGGTGATGTGTTAAAACATAATCGTAATGAATATCTGTTTAACTCAGCCTATAATTGATTACCATTACCTTTCATGACCGTACTTCTCCTATTGTACTTTTGTTTATTTATCATGTATTTCATCTTTTGCACAAGATGCGCCTTGAACATTTGATTGTCAAGTGGATTTGGCGCCTTACAAATTTTATGAATTATTATTAATAACATTATAGTAAACCACTGTCGATGACTCCTTATGAGAAGACGAACAAAATAAGATTATCTTAGTAGATGGAAAAGAGCATCATCATCAGTGCATACAATTATGGTCCTACCTAACCATATTGAGAAACTATAATTATACTTTAATACCAATAATCAGTTTGTGTGGTAAAGGCATGCATTTGCTGTTAATTTGAAAAAGAACACATGGTTTTTCTCAGAGAACCTATGAAATAAATAAAACCAATTATGAAGTGCACATATGTCCATTGTTTTGTAAACTTTGAAGATGAACTGAATTTGACAGATATGAATATGTTCACATCTACCCCTGATTTTCATACTAATTTCCTTTTTCAGAAATATCTGTATACACTACAGGGTAATGGGAATTTCTATGAAATATGTATTATATTTACATTTTTTAGAGCAACTTAGTGAGTTTCGCTCGTTCATATATTAAAACAAACAAAACTTCATATCAGTTTTCATTCGAGACAACAAAATGCATGCCATTTGTGTTTTTTCTGATATAAAATGACTCTATGAACGAAAACATCATTTTACATCGGGGATAAATAACATCTTCTTTACGAATCAAAATCTCTGCAACATCATTTTCAATAAGAGATACGTGAAATAATGGACAAGACATTCGATGTATTCTTCTTATGAAATGATTGCATGAATGATATCTCATATTCTTATATTATTCATTTCGGTACGAGCCAACATATAAGAATATGATGTATCGATCAATACGTCCTTTCTTTAATTTCTCTTGTATAATCATAATAGGCCCGTTCACACATGTCAATTTAGTGCGCATTGGATCGCGATGCAAAGATTAATTTTTGTTGGGGAGGCGACCATTCACACAAAGGGAGAATACTCGCTCGACGGCAAGAATGTCCGTACTGTGCATGCATGAATCCCGACGAAGGATGCGCGCTTGGAATGCTGAGATAAGATAAATTTTTGATTTTTGATTCTCATTACCATTCACATACATCGCCCGGCAAACTATTGCGATTATTCTTTAAAAAAAACGCAAGACTACCTGCGAATTGGATCGCGATGCGAATCGATTTTTAGGTCTCACTTTTTTTCTGTAGGTTTGAACGCCCCTGATATGAAGGATAATTAAATTATATCGCGTTCAGCTGCCGTATGCCATCATAACAATCAATTTAGGGGAAATCCCTTTTTCCTGCAAGAGAGAAAATGTAGGACAATCTCAGAAAGATTGAATAGCCTTCCCCTTGCAACCGGACGCAAACAGGTGATTTCATCCCTCCAGGGAATTTCATGAAAAAAATTAGTTTAGTCTTGTATTTTCATTTTATCCTCATGCCTTTATC